TCCACCATGTTAATGCCATGTCGGTAGATGAACTCCGGAAAATGTGTGAAATAATTTTCCAAAAAACAGAGGTGACTGTAAACATCCATACTACGAACAAACGGAAGGAGAGGGCCACATACGGTATGATTGTTACCAAAAAAGATGCCGCTTATAAGGACATACTACAGACTGTGAAAACAGCTGTAAAGTCAACTGGCGCAGCAGAGGCCGTACACTCGCTCAGAAGCACAAAAGAGGGAAAACTTCTCATCACCATGGAGAAAGACCAAGCAGCACTACAAAAAATAAAAACTGCCCTTGGAACAACAGAGGAAGGTCTCAGAGCATTCCAAATAGGAGAAGAACACATAACGGAAACCATACATATAAGAGGCATGGCAGAGGATGCCACGACGGAGGAGGTTATCGAGGCATTCCAAGAGCAAATAGGTAAGTGGGAAGACCACTACAAGATAGGAAAGATGCGACCACTGAGGGGCAACACCCTTGCCACAACAATTGTCATCCCGGCGAGAGTAGCTAAAATACTTTTGCGCAGAGATTTTCTCAGAGTTGGGGTATGTAGATGCAGAGTCGAGAAAAGACTAAAAATAAAAAGATGTAGCAGATGTTGGGCATACACGCATGACACCGATAAATGTCGAGGCCCTGATAGGAGTGGTATGTGTTACCGTTGCGGTAAATCAGAGCACGAAGCAGAGAAGTGTCAAGAGGAAGAAAGGTGCGTTCTTTGTAATGACGCCCATAGAACTGGCAGCATGGACTGCACACATTTTAAGAAGGCCCTTCAGGAGGCGAGATATCATGAGAAACTTAGAAAACAGCAAGGAGAATACGCGGATGTCTTCCCTCCTACGCTCACTCCCATACCTCCTTTCCCTTCTCCAAACAAGGTTCATGTTAACTCCCATTTGGAGTCCTCCAAATCTCTGTGCGACGAAGCTACAGCTACCTTTAGTGTAGTGACGTTGTCACAGGGAGTTCTGACAACTTCAGTCTAAGTGCCTGTTCCGTCATCCTATGTGACCTTTAACACATGATACTAAGGTAATGATTTCAAAATGGCTTTAACCGGGTTAAAAAGACTAAAAATTCTACAAGTGAACATCGGAAGAGCCAAGGTTGCACATGATCTGATTCATGCGAAAGCCCTCGAAATTGGAGCAGATATTCTAATAGTACCTGAACCAAACAAGAGAATCATCCAAAATAGCAGATGGATTACAGACAACAGGGAAGATGTAGCAATATACCCCATAAATCATAAAGTGTGCATAAATAAGATTATAAAAGGGGAGGGGCACGTACTAATCAAATTAGAAAAAGTAGCTATTATTGCCTGTTATATCTCACCCAACATAGGTAGAGATCAATACAAACAGCATATTGAATCCATAATACAAATGTCACATATAGAAAAGAATTTTATAGTCGCTGGCGACATAAATGCTAAATCTATCTTATGGGGTTCCCCACGAAATGACTATAGAGGGGATTTATGGAATGAATGGATCTCTACGGCCAATCTAACAGCGCTAAATAATGGAAAACCTACTTTTGTCCGGGGTGAAAGCCGAAGCCACATAGACATTACCCTCGTAAACGAAAGTTATGCCAATCAAATATCTAACTGGGACGTTCTTGACGAAAACATTTTTACTTTTCACAGATATATTGTTTACGAGATTGGCATCAAGGTCACGAAGAGCGGTAGGAAAAAGATAAGTTTTAACAAAGACCTATTTAAAAATAAAATTAGCAACCTACGAGAAGAAGCTACTAACTTCACAAACTACCATAAAAACCTAATACATGCATACAGAAGCAGCAGCAAGGAAAAATGTGTCACATATACTGTACCCTATTGGTGGAACGACGAGATACAGCTTAAAAGAACAAAATGTTTCAGAGTCAGGCGAATAGCACAAAGGAACAGGACCCAAGAAAACTTGGAAGAATATAAGCGCGTAAAGAAAGAACTAAAAAAAGAAATAAAGCGGGCTAAACGCACATGCTGGCAGAACCTGTGTGACACGCTGGACAACGATATATGGGGTGAAGCCTATAAAATTGCCACTAAGACACTGAGGTCCGAGGCTCCATATAACCTTTGTGTAGAAAAAAGAAAGGAAATTGCGAAAGCCCTTTTTCCTAATAAGCCCGAATGCCAATTTCTACCATATACTCTAGATAATAGACCTGACGAGTTCACCATAGATGAAATAAGATTAGCTGCCGAAAACATAAAAATCGGGAGATCCCCTGGCCCAGATGGTGTGCCACCAGAAGCCATACATATTATGGTACAGGAAAATCCTGAAGTCACCAGAAAGGTATTAAATGAGCTCCTACACAACCAAGAATTCCCAGACCAATTGAAGATTGCAAATTTAGTCTTAATCTTAAAACCTGGTAAACCACCAGACGGGCCTAGTTCATACAGGCCTATATGTTTATTAGATTGTATTGGGAAATTCTATGAAAGCCTCATAAAACGCCGCCTTGAACAGGAGCTCTTAAACACAGGAGCTATTTCTGACCAGCAATACGGTTTTAGAAAAACACGATCAGCTATAGACGCGGTAAAATTTATATGTGATACAGTCAAACAAACAAGAAATAAATGGGCAATTCTTGTTATGTTCGATGTAAAGAATGCCTTCAATTCTGCCAATTGGGCATACATCATAAGGAAACTGGAAACCGCTGGAGTGTCAGACTACCTAATAAATATAATTAAAAATTACCTCACCGACAGATATATTAAAGTGTCAAACAAAGAAAAAACAAAACTATCGGCTGGAGTACCGCAGGGATCTGTATTAGGTCCAACGTTGTGGAACGTCTTGTATAACACAGTATTGGAAATAGATTACGGCAGAGGTGCGTCAGCAATTGCATATGCAGATGACTTAGCAATACTAATAGAGGGTGACACAAACTTGGATGCAATAAATAAAGTTAATATATGCTGGAGAAAAGTTAATAGGTGGATGACAACTAACGACTTACAGCTGGCGTGTAATAAAACAGAGATAATTATATTAAAAGGGCCTAGAGCGATACCCAACCTGACTTTCCAATTTGCAAGTACGACGATAGTCCCAACCAATTGTGCTAAATATCTAGGCATACACCTTGATACAGGTCTACGATTTACCAAACACCTGATAAATGTAGTCCAAGCAGCAGAACGCAGAACAGCGGCCATTATGAAAATAATGCCTAATATAGGAGGGCCAAGTAATTATAAAAGAAGAATGTACTTGCAAATAGTGCATTCGACCCTTTTGTACGGTGCCCCTGTATGGATTGAAGTCTTAAGGTTTGCCAGGTACAAAGACTTGATTACAAAAGCTCAAAGAAAGCCCCTTCTTAAAGTAGTTAGTGCGTACCGGACTACATCTACGATAGCCTTACAGGTGATTGCTGGTACACTCCCCATTCACCTCCTAGCGAAAGAAAGAGCCATCCTATACAATAACGGCAACGGCCACCTGACACAGGTAAGAGACGAAATTAGGAACCAGATCCTTGATGAATGGCAATCTGAATGGGAGGCACAAAGGGAAAAAGCACAATGGACTAAAATACTAATACCCGATGTAAAAGCATGGTACAAATGTAGGTTCAAGAGAATAAACTATTTCTTTGCACAATTCCTGACCGGACACGGTTCTTTTAGGTCGTATACATACAGAATTAAAAAAACAAATGACGATATCTGTATGGATTGTGGTGTGACTGATGACGCGGAACATTGCATTTTCGAATGCAATGTCTTTCTACAAGAACGTCAAAGACTGAGAATTAAGCTAGGAGAGGTCACGCCCAATAATATACTGGACTTAGCTATGCAGAACAGAAAGAACTATGATTATGTGTTAGAAATAATAACGGAAATCATAAAAAAAAAGGAGACGCTAGAAAGAGCGAGACAGGATGAAGGAATAGGCTGAAAGACTAATAAAATAATTGTAATTCGCGTTTTTTTTGCTCATTAGACACATACTTCAGCGTTCTGTACTAATTTTATAGTGTAACTGTCCTATTTACTTACTTATATTGTTTTTTATACTGTCATTATGTCACTCAGCTACCTTTGAGACTCTCTACCGAGGACAATACTAGGTTTTCGTGAAAATTGAAGACCGCGGTGGTGCTCCCGAAGTTGCATTCGCCAAGAAAAGTTCCGGGTGCGCTGCTGGAAGAGAGGGTGAGTTTAGTTGGTAGGCGCCTGAACTAACCTTATCAACATTCCAACGTTATAGTTCAGACGAATCCAACAGTATCTGGGTCCTCTTCCCAGATCTCTTTAGAAGATTCTCATCCAAAAAAAAAAAAAAAAAAAAAAAAAAAAAAAAAAAAAAAAAAAAAAAGTATATATAAACAGAGTGAGCATTGAAAAATTAGAAGTAGTTCAACCTTTGACAGTTCCTTTTCCAGAAGTCAGTGAGGCAAAGATTAAGGATGTGAGAAGTTTGTATAAACATTTGGACATAGATAGTGCTAAATGGCTTGAGTGTATGCTTAATGTAATTCCCAATAAAGGAATAGCCGTGTAATTCTAAAAGATGTTAATATATTTATTTGTTTTACCCATGATCTCACAGTACAGTTTGTAGAAAATAATCTTAAATCACACAAAATAAATGAAAGTTAGAATAATTTGCACCAAAAAAGTCTATTTCCGGAAGAAGGGCACATAGCACTCATATTTGGACATTTAACTGTATTCATAAATATATTACATACTACTAAAGGAGTTTAAAAAACTGTAGCTAAGGTTATATAAATTATGTAAAATATTATCACACAAACAACTTCATAAACGTGATTAAGTTAAATAAAACTTAATTTTAAATTGGGTTTTTCTCAAAACCACCATTTTGGCTATCTGCCCTTTGTCCGGAAATGTCCTCAATTGTGATTTATAGTTCTAAACCTGAGTTTACATTTTTAGTTTCAGTTTTTTTTTCTAATATGAATATACATACCTATTAATACAAGATTAAATGTATTAAAAAACATTTTTCAGAATTATTCAAACGACACGTCACATATTAGGCATAGCAATCGATTTACAAAATTTAATTTACAAATTAGAGCCACAATTTGTTTATTTTTATAAAAGTCAATAATCAATTTTACAATAAGATCACAGAACAACGTCAGAGACGTCAGTGTCACTAATGTCAGTCGTGTCAGTTTCATCAGCGACTTCTCTGTCAGTATTACAAAACGAAGCAGTGTTCAGAAATTGAACTGAATTATCGTTAAGTCGACTTTACACTACATGATTTTATCATATGACAATACAAGATTTGTTATGATTCCTCGTTTCTATGATGTTTTAAAAAAATCGCATAAAGAATATCGAATCGCATATCGAAGCCATTTTAGTGTTGCTTCTTAAAAGACAGAAAATATTGATCTTTCACGTTGAAAACACCTTTGAATAACTGTTCTGATAAGACCTATTTGCTGTCTTTTTTATTTTATTCAGATCTACTCTGTACGAGTACAAGAAACCAATTCACTAAGGATTTCTGCTTAGTTGAAAAGACATGTCGTGGAATGCAAATTTTAGATTCCCCATGTCTCTTTTAACACCTTCATCAACGTCTGTTTTGCTTTGCAATTTTTAGAAAGCACAGATTAAAGCAGAAATCTGAATTGTGTTTCGAAACTATTTTACGGTTTTATTATCAGATGTCGCTATTGCGTCCATATCGAAGCCATTTTAGTGTTGCTTCTTAAAAGACAGAAAATATTGATCTTTCACGTTGAGAACACCTTTGAATAACTGTTCTGATGAGACCTATTAGGTCGAAATACGTATCAACAGATACAAAGGCGCTGTTTGCGTGAAATCAAATATTTGCTGTCTTTTTCATAAAATTAAACTGATTTATATACAGGGTGTTAAGTAAATACTTAAACGGTGAATCTTCGACGCATACACTGCGACACAAAAAACATTAATGATCATGAAGTAATGGCCGTCTTAGTTCAAGTTTTAGTAATACTGATTTCATATTCTTTTATAGGCAATACACTTATGAAGAAGTGGCGAAATATCAAAGATAATTTCATGAGAAGTAAAAATAAAAAATCCAAATCAGGACAGGCAGCAGAAGCTGGGAGGCAATATATTTATGCTAGGCAACTTAACTTTTTAAAAGGTACTCAACAAAAAGCAGTTACAGAAGCAACAATTGAAGAGGCAATAATACCCGAAAATGTTGAGGGCGCAGTTACAGAAGTAGAGCATGCTCCTGCTGCAAAACAAACAAAAATACAGTCCCGTAAAAAGCGCCAAAATTTAGAAGAAAGTTTAATCCAGTTCATAAATACACCAACACTGACCGCAGCCACTAAGCCTACGAATCCACACATGCTATTTTTTGAGTCCCTTCTTCCAACATTCGAGGCATTTTTCACCGACGAGCAAATTGAATTTAAAAGTGAAGTATTAAATATTATTAAAAAAATTAGAGCTGCATCATCTCATACGCCACTGTTGCAGTTCATGGTAGTTCCTTCAGCCTCAAAAAATATTCACCATAATTATTCACAAACCTATCAAGATCAATATTTCCCAAACTTCACAGTCAAACAGTTTCTAACATGCAAATTTCAAATAAATAAAAAAGCACCTAATAGAGAACAACAACAGATTGGTTGCTACCCTCAAGCGAGAAAAGTTTTATCCTGTGTTGAATTGTCTCTCCTATACTAACTGTTTGGCCCAAGAAGAAGTTTCAACATAGTTATTCAATATAAAATAAGAGAAGTGCTGCAGTATTGCTAAGAGCAAGACAAACTGCAACACACAAGAAATGTGCTGGCGGATGCACTTGTATGCTAGCCAAAAAGACGAAGTGAAGTGAAGTAGCGAACCGAGTATATTAGATTTTTAAACTATTATATGGAAAATAAATCTTTGCTTGTATTAGCTTCCGGACTTTTAATAATAATACGCCGGCAACAACGGTGTACAGCTAATAGTAAGAAAAAAGATCAGACGCCTTTGAGCTCGCAGGTGCTAACGAAGAAATAGTGGACGGGTTATATTAAATTTAGTGTTGATATTAATTATGCGAAATAGATACCGTCCATGATATAAGGAAACAAGGTATGCTCACACGCATCTATTTTGAACAGCCAATCGCGTTTACGACCAAAATCCGCCATTTTGAAGGCGGCAATTCAAATATGTACAAAATTGATAAACAATATCGTAGTTAAATAAAATAAAATAAAATTAATATTATACATTAATCCAATTAATTCAGATTTAAAATGATCTGAACAGACTCTTGCTAAAATAATTTTTAAAAAATCGAAACAAAACAAAAACAAATTTACTTTTAAATTCCAATACATTGCAAAGTAAGGTTAAAAAATGCAAAACACTTAGCTGGACGTAAACAAAGCAGACGTCACGCATGTGACGTATTGAAAAAATGGTGGATTTTGGTCGGCGCAGCGATGTGCAAAAACGAGTCCACCTAGTGAGCATACCTTGTTTCCTTATATCATGATACCATTCTATTCTCCTGTTGCAAGCTATGACGAGTCGCATGACAGTGCTTATGACAAATCACACAGTGTAAACTTGAGGTGTGCTTATTAGTTCTTTTTGACGAACTAGTTCAAGAGAACTATTTCACAAAAATGAACTAGTTCAGTGAACTAGTTCGCGAAAGAACTATTTGTAGGACCGAAATCGAAATCCAACCCTAACATAACTGGTTGCCAGATGTCTCGTCTCAATCATCACACAAGCTCGGCGCCGGCCGCCCGTTTTCTTCGGTTTTCAGTCAGTCTTTCACTAGTTCAATACCGTACAAGTAGTTCGGAACTATTTCTTTCGATCGTATGTTTAGGTTTAAATGGTTTAAATTATATATGATTTTATTTGCATAAAATTATTAAGATTTGTTTTTTATTAACCGTTTTAAATATAAATATGGTTCACGTATGATTTATTTTTATATTTACGTATATTTAAACTCATATGTATTTATAATTAGGTTATTTCTAAAAGAACCTTTACAAAAAAAATCAGTGAATTTTCTAGGAACATTAAATAACACATTTTCATTCTCACTTTTACATAAAATTATATTTGTTTAGTAAATGCCTCAATCATTTTAACCACAACTAAAATTTTTATTTCAAAATTACAATACAAGAAACAACACAGCATGGCAACATCCAAGCCAATACATGGGCATAAGATCCGAACCATTATGACATTAAGATAAGACTTTATGTTATTGTCACATTCATAAGAATTATGAATCTGTTATCTGAGGCTAATCGGCATTTTTTTTAAACTAGTTAGTCCATCCATTCACAAAATAATAAATATATGTTCTCATTCATTCATTCATTATTTTCTTCTTTAGAAGTTGAGACACAATTTATAATGCAAATCGTTCGCAGTGAACTAGTTCTATGAAAATTAATGAACTAGTTCAATTAGTTCAGTTGAAAGAATCGTTCATTTGAACTATTTCGATGGTGAACTACACAACCCTAGTGTAAACAGAGAACTACGAACACATAGAAGCGACACGACCGTTCTAAAACGTGTACTGTTTTTGTATACACATGCCCGATTCTGGTTGCTTAACTGTCATCAACACGTACTTATACTCTAATTCTGGTTATTTTACGATAGTCCGTAGGCGCCTGTGGTAAATACTCGACTCAACAAGTGCATTTGACCATTTATCTAATTTATTTAGTGGTTAAAAGTTTATAGTTATAGTTAAAATATAGAAGTTAAATATATAAGTTTATAGTTATAGTTTATAGTTTAATTTATATTAAAAGGAATAAGTTTCTTTAGATTTCCTAAAAATAATAACAGGTAATTACTATTGCTTTGTAACTATTATTAGTTATTACATAATAGTATTAGTTTGACTTTCGAACAGTAAGCCGACGTGTTCGTCTGAGCTCTCGTTAAGTGGAGCAATAAAAAAATAAACTTTGGTCTGCCAAGGGATAGTTCAAAATGAAAACATTGAATTTGTTATCTCTGAAGGCTCAGGTCAAAAATCAACAGATGGTGGCCGGGTGTCAGCGCGCTCGAAGACAACAATACGAATATGGTATTTTTGGGATTGCAGATCTTCTGGAGTAGAAGCTAGGAGTACTGTATCGTCCGCATATCGCAAATTGTTTATGAAGTCACTGTTCATAATTATTCCTTCTTGTTTTTCAGAAAGTGCATTTCTGAACATTCTTGTGAAGTAAACGGCGATGTGATTCCAAACCGTCTACTAAACCTTATGTTTGATTCCAATACAAATTTGCAATTATGCGAACGTCTCTGCCATCCAAACCAATGTTTCTTAGAACTTCGATCAATATAGAGTACTTAATACGATCAAATGCCTTTTGGAAGAAAATAAAATTTTAAAAAAATCATGGGCGTACAACAGTACCTACGCCCAACCAAAATATGTAATCCACCATTTTGTTGGCGGCCATTTTAGATTTTCTATAATAAACTCTTTTCTACTAGTCAAGCCCTTTCATTTGATACCCATATTGAAGTAGATGTGAAAAAATATGTAATCCACTATTTTGTAGCTGCGTCCATCTTGGATATACAATGATACTAAATGTATGTAGTGTATGTATAGTCGGTTCGCTAATCTCAGACACAACTATCTAGTATTTCAGTAATTATTTTTTTTTTGCGAAAGTTAGTTACATTTTAACAGACTAGAAGTGGATGACAATTACTATATTTATAACCAAGCACACATGCTCATAGCCAATGTAAACAAACATAAATCTTACTCCAATCAATAATTATTTATTTACACCACAATATAATTACACAACAGACAAAGGAAGATTTGACCAATTATTTAAAGGTAAATGCTCCAATATACATTTCTATTGCAAGAAGTTAAAGATTACGGAGTACCAAGGAAACTTTAAAGTTTCATATCCATTGGATTATAAAAATGAAGTTCTCAATCCCAGCATTTGGCCTGAATCAATGGTTCGTCGTTTTGACTTCAAATACAAGTATTGTACTAACCGCAGTTAACAATACAAGAAATAATTGTTACAAAGCCGGCTTAGGCAAACTCGATACTACAAATAATTTTAAAGTCAATACC